ATTGGGTCTTTTAAACCCATTCTCTGGTTGGCTGATATTCAACCCTCCTCCTAATTGGGTTTTGTAAACTATTCTCGGGTTGGCTAATATTCAACCCTCCTCTTGATTGGGTTTTTAAACCATTCTCTGGTTACTTAATATTTAGCCTTCCTTCCTAATTAGTTACTTAACCTCCTCTGAATGGTGCGTTTAGTGTCTACCCTTCACGACACGGTCACTATTGTTGTCTCGATAACTCTCTCTTTGACTCTGTCTTTTCTATAGCATAAATACCCTTGTCTCGGCCACCTGGGAAGTGCTCTGCTTATACCGTGAGTCGATCCATCTCTTTCTATCCTCCAGCGTCCTAATTCGTATTATGTCTGTGTCGCCAGAACCATCATCTGAGAGGTCGTTGCCTCCGGATACCAATTTCAACTCGACCAGCTTAGACCAAAGAAAGAGAGATGTTCGAGATATTCTTTCGTCCTTCGATGTAAATGATCTCCCGTCAGAGTATTGTTCGGATATTTGCATTCGCATTACGAATGAACAAAGCACAAGACCGAATTCTGAATGGACGGTTTTCGGAGATTTGCGGGCAACAATGCTAACTTGGGGTGTCCACGACTCTGATGGCTGGACCTTCATCAATAAATGGATACCCAAGAAGATTCGAGCTCAGCTCTTTTGCGAAAAGTTACAGAGGCGGTTCCAACGAGAATTCGACGGGTATGATAAGATAGCCAATTCTATAAACGAACCAGAAGCGCAATCTCAGTCTCCGGCACACGTTTCGTCCAGGATCGCCCAGGCCGCCGGGAAAATTAACTCCCTTGTGGCCGAGGCTCTGCTTGATCTCGACTTCCGCTCTGTTGGGCAGAAACACACTGCGAGAGTCCTACTGGAAGCGATCGAGGAGATCTGCATGCGATCTAGGAACATCTCCCCTGCGCTCCTGGAAGGAGACCCATTGACCTCGGGAATGGAACTTGAAATCAGCCTCTACGACGCCTTGATTCGTCGACCGCCTGCAACAACGCCAATGGTGATATTGGAAGCACTGACAAGAGTGTCTGACATTTCACCAGGGCTCTTGCAGGCTTTAAAAATCCGATTCGAAGCCCCCGATATCCCTTCTACGTATGGGCAGCGATTTCATGAACTATGCACCCAAGCTGGAGTAGTTTTGTGATGTGTAAAGCTGGAAGTGCAAGCTGGGAGATTATGCAGCCCCCCTTCCACCCGGGGAGGGGGAATATTATGAATCACTCCTGTCGAACATGAGTCCTCCCAAGAGGGGACTTAAGGAGCGGCGCAACACTGCTGATCTAGGTTTGCTTGATGTATACTCACTTGCTGGTATACTCGGAGCCCAACCATTGATATCTTTGGATTGGAAAGGAAGCAGAAGATGCTCCTGCTTCCCTCATACTCTCTCAACGAGCGGAGTAATCTGTCATCAATGCCACGAATACCAAGACCATGGGCCAATATGTATATAGCACGCGGCACGCAGGCTATCCCTTTTCGATTCTCCGGCTTTGAAGTTGTTGTCGACCTGCGCCTGTCCATAGATAGTACACTTATTTTCAGCTGCTGGTGAACCATCCCCAACATCTAAGTTCTTCTTCATCCTCAAAACATATTTATCTCGGTGACCAATCTCGTCAGCCTCTCTACGCGCTCCGTTCTAGTAATTATTAGCTTCTACACGAGTAAGGAGCAGTTCGACCGCTGTGAATTCCTATTCACTTAGCTAGCCTATAGCGATAGCAGAAGGAATGGAACCCTAGTAGATCGTAGGGGGGCTGTAATGATGGTAATATTAGAATCGCTATCCGAGCGAGGCCGTGTTCAAGAGGAGGAAAGCTCGTAGCGCGAGAAGGCCAGTATTGGGAATTTGTGCTTCATTAGAAGAAAGGGACGTAAAATTAGAGAGTCTAGTTAAATGAGTGAATAGGAAAGTGGCCGAAGTTGCAACGGCATCAAAGAGGAAACACTTAGAACTCTACTAATTTTAGATCCTCATCGACTCTGTGCGAAGTTCAGGATGAGAGCACGAGGGTCAGTGGTTAATATGGAGGTGACACAACCAGCATGACCTGGCGAGGCTGGGCTAGTCGCACGTGAGCTCGGGGGAAGTTTTGCTTATCATTTGGTGCCAAGCCCAGATTCGTCCCGTGTAACCTGCAATTCTGTGCAGTGAGAAACTTTCCAATTATTAACACAACCGGAAAACCATCACTTCCTCTCTCATCGTTCAATCTCAGTTGTTTTTGGTCGTGCGCTTGGGCACGCTCGCCTTGTCAAGGACAAGGCCCACTGCTATTGAATTCGGCTCTAAAGTTGAGCGCTTCAGGACATTGCCATTGCAAGGGTTTGCCTGCGCACGCCCTGCTTCCACTTCCCGACTCTGACCACGTCCAAGTGAACTACTCCATCCTGCGTCAATCAACGCTTTCATCAAGCATTTCACCAACTACTCCTCAAAATGTCAGGGCTCGATGTCGAGGCGTTGCTCGACTCCACCGCCACCAACGATGTCAAAGGCAAAGACTCTCCCCACGACAGTGATGACCGTCACCGCAGCGACCGCTCCGATCGCCGTGACAGAGACAAGCATCGCGATGGCTCCCGTGATCGCGACAAGGACCGCAAGAGACGAGATCGAAGCCGAGACCGAGACCGAGACCACCGTCGAGACCGTGATGATGAGATGAAGAGTCCGAGAAGCGACCATGGCAGTGCTAACGGCAGTCACAGAAGCAGCAGGAGGAGAAGCCGCAGCCGTGACCGGGATGATGATAGAAGACGGTCCAAACGAGATGATGACTACCATCGAAGACGCTCTCGATCTCCAGAGTACGATCGCTATTACCGACCGGGCGGACGATCCAGGCGTGATGAGGATGACTACCGACGCGATCGTGACCGAGACCGACGTCGCTCGCCAAGTCCCAGAAAGCGTGTCAAGAGCAAGACTCCAGAGCCACAACTTACTGAGGATGAGCGTGACAGGAGAACCGTATTTGTCCAGCAACTTGCTGCTCGCCTGCGTACCAAGGAGCTGATCCAGTTCTTCGAAAAGGTGGGTCCTGTTACAGAGGCCCAGATTGTCAAAGATCGAGTCAGCGGTCGCTCTAAAGGGTAAGCTACCAACTACCGTAGGGTAGAATCTCACGCTAATGCATCTACAGTGTCGGCTATGTTGAGTTCAAGAACGAAGAGTCCGTCCCTCTCGCCATCCAAATGACCGGACAGAAACTCCTCGGCATTCCCATCATTGCACAACTCACTGAAGCAGAAAAGAATCGACAAGCCCGCAATCCAGAGGCTACAAGCAGCAACCATAATACAATCCCTTTCCATCGTCTCTACGTGGGCAACATCCACTTCAGTATTACTGAGCAAGATCTACAGAACGTATTTGAGCCATTTGGTGAGCTCGAGTTTGTACAACTACAGAAAGACGAGGGGGGTCGCAGTCGTGGTTATGGCTTTGTGCAGTAAGCCCTCTCCCCAGGTCTTGCTCCGTCATCTGCTAATGTCGAATAGGTTCCGCGACCCGAATCAAGCACGTGAGGCCCTCGAGAAGATGAATGGTTTTGACCTCGCAGGCCGCCCAATCCGAGTTGGACTTGGAAACGACAAATTCACCCCCGAGTCGACCGCCAACCTCCTGCAACGCTTCCAAGGCCAAAACCCACCTGGTTTTCAAGGCTCAGCATTCTCTGGCTCTGGTGGCCGTGGCGCTCATGCCGGAGGGTCTGGCGGCACATTTGATCGTGCAGGCGGCCGTGACAACGAAAAGGGAACTGGTGGAGCAAGTGCACTGGATGATACAGATGTCGCTGGTGTGAATTTCAACAACTATAGCCGAGATGCATTGATGCGGAAACTCGCTAGGACAGATGACACATCTGCAGAGACCGATGCCAAACGCGCTACCGTGCCCACCAAAAAGGAGAGCAAGCCCCTTCCTGTCAACGTCAGCCAGGCAAGCAGATGTGTTCTGCTTCGCAATATGTTTGATCCTGCCGAGTAAGTTTCTCTTCTTGACAGCCCTCACATTGTACCTCGCACTGATGCTATACAAATAGGGAAGAAGGCGACTCCTGGATCAAAGAACTCGAAGACGACGTGCGTGCGGAATGCGAGGAGAAGTACGGTCATGTCGTGCACATCGCCCTCGACCCTAACACCCAAGGCGACATCTACCTCAAGTTCGAGCGCGTCTCTGGAGGGGAGAACGCCATTAAAGGGTTGAACGGGCGTTATTTTGGCGGTAGGCAGATCAGCGCACAGCCCGTCGTTGACGCCGTGTACAGCAGTTTGTTCTCTAGGACGAAAGCGCTATGATTCGCCCCAGCTGCTGACCTTCAGCCTCCGATCCCATCTCGGGTTCCGCCGCAGACGGGTTGAAGAGAAAGAGAAATTGGGTGGCAGCATAGCAACTCTCCCTCAATCATTCGCTTGTACCCCGAAGTGCATACGATGGACGTGACTTAGCCAGTCAGCCAACTACCTAGGTGGAGGGCCTATTCATCAACGTCAAACCGAGTTGGGGGAGGCTGAGGATGAAGTGTGTGGCTCAAGGTCTATCTCTTGTTGACGAATGCACCGGGAGACCGGACGAATGTGCTTCATCAACTCCCTACGGCTCAAGACTGTGGAAGGTTTGACTGCACGGGAATTTTCCTTGCGGTCTGGACAGAAATTCTATTGACCTTCTCATTAGTTACAACACGCTGGGCGTTTCTAGCAACCGGCTTGAAAGCAGAATGTCTTGCGTTCTTGATTTGGATTGGAGTAGGAAGGCTAGGATCGCTGCTCGGTAGGTCGGCCTTGTGATTAATTTGCAACTTGATGAATCTCAGAAAAACTATAGGATGAGACCGCGAGATCCAGAAAGAACAAAATCATACTGCAGAAACATATTGTTAATAAATGGACTTCGCTTCCACTGTGATGTGTCTCTTTCTTTTTGAGTATGATAACAAACCCATAGCTTAGCCCGTACGAATTGAATGAATATGTTTCGCTCTGCCCCTCGAACGAACCCATGGGAAAAGCTCGTCGTCTAGCAGAACTTCTCCTTCCGTCAAGGGGTGTCAATCCTGATCTTGTGCAACACGCACGAGCCGAACATCAATGCCCAAGAAGCCTTCTAACCGGCAGGACACAGGGTAACCATGAGCCAACCCTAATGATCTGCCACAGCACCGACACAGCACTATATGCATCACAACACACAACAGGACCTAACCATTCAATGGATCACGCAATCTCAAGCCTAGATCTTAGCCCGCCATTAATCTATGTGCCTCTGTCCTATGTATGTGCTAGGCTAGAACTGCGCCAGATCCCTCGACGGTCAGAGAGACGGAGGAGGTTGAAGTCGTGGATTGCCTACAGAGGGGCGAGGTCAGTTACCTACCTAGGGACTCGGTATATATATAGAGGCGGCGACAAAAGAAGAGGCCGGGTATAGTTTTCTGATATCGAGCCTCGGCCACCTATCTATGGGCGTCCAATGCAGGACAAAAGTGCTTGCATCCGCTAGATATGTGAGGTACAGGCCGCCTAACCCGTAACCAGCCGTAACCCATACCCGTAATCCGTGACCCGTCCTTCGAGTGTTTTGGGGAGATTGGACTTCTCCAATGGCGATGGTTTATGGAGGGGGAGTTTGTTTTGAGGTCTTCTACATGAATGCACGCATCTCAAGCCCGGAAGGGAAGACTTGCGCTGACTGACCCTCTTTTCTTTCCACGGCGCCGGTACAGGGCATATGACACGTACACACGTATATAGCTACTGCACAGAACGCAGCTACAGCTACCTCAGCCGGTCATGGTTTTCTCGGACCATGCTGGGAGTTCGGCGAACTTGTGGATGTAGATTTCTATACTTAAGCCCTGCCTTGAGGGCGCGTTGGATCTCACTCGGGTATTTGTGAAATAGAGACACGGCAGGTAGCTATCTATGAGTTGATGCAGAGCCAGGCTCGGCTCCCGAGTCTGATATGCAGCGAGTTAGCTAAATTTATACTCAAGTCACTTGTTTAGCAATGACTATATTGAAAGGATATATAGGTTTGGTGGGTCCTCGTACCGATACTACGGGGCATCACGCATACGGTTAGTGCAGGATAAACCATTTGCTATAAAGCAAGGCTGGAATGGATGCTTG